GTTCTTAACACCAAACCACCACTCTGTATTCCCTTTAAAACATTTTTTTTACAATCATCAATCAATTTCCATGCACTTATTAGTATCGATTGCTATATATTGGCAACATGACTATGACTTTCCTACCGTTTATACTCACTATTATGTCAATTTGTTTGTTTTCTACAACAAGATGTTTTACCCAAAACACGCTTATCTCACCCCTAATGAATGTGTACCTTTCAAGCAGGTATCTCTTTGAAAGTTTGCGTGACTCTAAATCGTAATCATGTCATCCTGTATCCACATGTATTTGTCTATACATGTTTGTATTATGATAATGTTACCAACGGTAACCCCTTGATTATTTATACGCACACAAAGGATTCAATTACCAAGTTTTACATGCAGTTTTTCCATGTGGCCACGTGGCGAGTATATTTACATCACGGTCAATTGAGATAGTGGGTTCAACCATACTTACATAGATACGCATATCTACCCTCGCATTTCATTTCGAGTTTTTCACCTCTTTGATAAAAGTACAATGTAAACTGACCATTCAGGACAAACAAAGCCTCCTAATCCAAAGTTTTTGTTGTTCACAAATTTAACTTAATTTGCGAGAAGCACTTAAATTCCGATTCTGCACCAAATGTCTCGGCAACAGTTCCTTATGACCTTTGACCCATAATTTGATGGGCGAACACAATTACAATGCGACTCGGGAGGGTTAGAGTTAAGGTTAGGGGCTTTAAAAAACCCAATTTTCATCAATTTTCATTGTCTATTTCTATAAACATGAGAAATCAAGGTCTACTACGACTGAATCATGTGACAAACCTCAGGTAAAAGATCTGAGAAGATTGTATTTTCCACACATTTTCAAAATGGAATCATATTATAATACAGTCACGCACATGTGTTTAAAGTATGCATTACCTCATTATTTCATATATACAAGTATGTATAATATTAGTCGCTAATGGTTGAACATAGACATACTGGTGATGGTCCGTGAACAGTACTCTAAAACTGTTGCTACTCGTAATATACATTGTAATGCAATGCGACAGTTATGTGATTTAACAGGTAGTTCCCCATCGATTATTATGCGCCACCGTTTGAAAACAAGTAAAAAACATATATTTCATTAAGGAAGCTGTAACTGATGGTTTTACACCTGTATACAAAAGTTTACCCTGCTTCACCTGAAGATCACACGATTTGGAAGATCCCTATTTGTTTTCTGATTCCATTTATAATGACGCTAAAAATTACGCCTAAAATACGCTTAGTCTAAGTGGTTGTTGTCAACGGTTTATATCTATGTGAACTCAAAGGTCGATTCGCAGTTCAAAAATGGCGACTTTATTGATTGTACACACAATTTATGTGGTATTGACCAGAGTAGAACTTGTAGCTGCGGAGGAACTATTGTCAGCTGGGGTATGTATTTGTATTGTATTTCATGTATGTAGATTAGAATACTAGCCGAGAAGTTGAGAAGTGGGTAAGTCATGCTGCATGGAGCCCAGTACCCGTGAACTCTGCTTTCAACTTCTATCAATGACACTGATTCTGACGAGATACCTTCAATAATTCATGTGAATTTAGAATAACCTTAAGGCTGGTGATTTTGCATTAAATTGACTATTGACTACAATAAAAGAGTGTACAAAGCCATGTGTCACTTCATATGAAACGTACCTTAGGCAGCAACATATATTGTTCCTGTTATTCATTCATTTTGCAATTAAATAAACCCAGGAGCGATAAAGGCGACAGAAAAAGTCAGAAACTGTTTTATGGTACAAGATATAGTGAAACAAAACATGACATTGTCGCTTTTTATACCCCTAATGGCTTTGTTATGTCTTATTTGGTCTGTACTTCCGGTGATCTTTGAAACCTGAGGTCTCGACCAAACAGGTGACTGCTACATACATATAACTAGAGGGTTGCGACAGAAACACAAACATTTATATTGAAAAATTTAAACATCTTTATTGTCAAGTGCACACAAATCTTACACACTATTTCGAAATCACGTTGGATTATTGTACAGTCCAAAGTATACACACACACCAACCAGTTTAGATACACATTGCGTGGAAAAATATAGAGTAGTTCAAATAGAGTTTAAAACCAGTTCATTCAGTAAAGGGTACTCACAAATCCAACAGCAGAAAACGTCGCACTTGTTGACTACTGCAACAAAAGTGGTGTGGCCGATTTTGAGAAGATGACAGTGTTCTTGGCTGACAACCAGGCACGAATAAATCAAGATGGAAACTACTAATTCGTCGCTAACCTTGTTGACGGCGAACGTAGTTTTAAGACTCTAGAACTAGCAAAATGTCATACTACAGCTAGAAATATGTCACACTCAGGTCCGGACAAAGTGTGTTGTTGTTGTTGTTGTTGTTGTTGTAGTTGTTGTTCGAATCGCTGACGAACAAGTCGGGTGACTGTGGTCATATATGCAAAACCAGCATGACACCCTAAGTCAATGGTAATAACTATCGTCGTGGATAGCTTGTATGGATATATACGACCACGCCACCCATAGCAATAAATTACAAAGGTATGTACAGAATATATGCCATAGTGGCAGTATCATCTGAGATCATCTGTATGGTAATATTATTATCATGGGGGTCTCTCAAGTATGCACGGACGGCAATAATTACTCTGTCATGACTTTCACGGCGGATTCTGGCAATTATCGATAGTCTTACGAAAATATACTTTTAGCTGACCTTGAATTTGTAAAAGAATGATGGCCGCATAGGATTTCATAGTCAGTGAAGCGATTTCTTCATTTTCTGATTTTAAATCAGACCATTTGGTCATGTTGACAATCTAAGATGGCCACGAAAACCATTCTAAAGTCTTTTTTTGTTATCCGATATAACATATGTTGACATAACTCAATATAGTTGGGCAATTGAAATATTAAGCAATAAATCTAGCTTGATATTGTGTTTTATGGTGTTTGGTTAGAACTATATTATGCGTAGGTAGGTCATTAATTTTCTGTGTTGCTTTCAAGGAATATTACTATTATTTCCAGTAAGTTAGTGCATCATAATAACATGAGGTTATTACGAGGA